TCGATGTGGACTAAGGAGAGGGGGCCTCGCACAGAATAACTTCTTCGCACAACACAACCTAGTTCTGTGATCCGTAAAAAGATCCCTGCAGCATCAACTCGATGCATAGAGGCCATCATTCTCCACCACTAGGTTGAAAGCTGTTTTAACATGATGCCAGGCGATATTCAGTCATTATATTATTGATAAATAAAATGATATTGTCAAGTTCTTGGTCATTGTGCTGTATAATCCTCTCACAGACAAGTCATATTCTTCCATCCTCCTGTAAACGGTCCTTCTTGAAACCCCAAGGCATTTTGTGATGCAGGAGACCGGCACATGTGTGTCTACCAAATACTTTAATTTTTCTCTCTCGATTACAATTTTGGGGCGGCCAGAACATGGACCAACTTCTGTTTCCTGTTCTAGGACGAGCATAGAGCTGGCGCCAATTTCACACTGGACCAGATGATGGAGACTCTCAAGTGCTTCTGTAATCTCTGACACACCACCTATCTGATCAGAGAATGACTCAAATAGAATGAGCTCATGGCGCATGAGGAAATCCAAATAATCCAAATTTAGTGGTTGTTGGTTTATTGCAGATTGTAGTCTGGTGAGGAGTCTCTCCAACAGCTGATGTCTCAATATGTCCTGTTGATCATATAGACCTCACATTAGTAAATCCAAAAGTCTGTGGTTAGCAATTTGTGTCGAAAGACAGTCATATGTCATATCATGTTAAGGCTTGCACCCAAAAGGCATACACGAGCCACTCCCGGGCTGCTGTCATACTGGTAATCAGCAGAGACACCAGGTTTCTGGCTGCTGACTCAAGTGCACCACATTCCTAGCATTAAACGGTGGTCATGATTAACATGTCTTCATTTGTAATAGCACAAGGTGACACTATACTGTACAACTATACGTCCACCGATATTTATGCTAATATTAACAGCATCAGACCTATGGGTAGTTAACTGGCTGGCTGCAATTCTTGGTAGCAGACTATATAAATTACTTTCTAAATGTAGTAGGTGTGAGGCGTGTTCTTTTTATATCGAAAAGGGAAGACTAATAAGAGGATACAGTACAGTTGACCTTTGCATAGAGCAGTCAGAAATACTATCAATGCACAATTTAAGGGACTGATTATAAATGATCAGTGTAACGTCGTGTGATGTTGCAGATGCAGGTTGATCCCAGGACGTCACATATTCTGTCATTAAACTTAAAGAAGTTGGAAAAAAGGGTGAGTAGTACTCGACATAAATCTGGTTCATGATGCTTTGACCTGCAGTGGCTAAACAAGTATCTTCATGTGACCGTCTTAACAGAGAAGCATCGTAAACCAGACGAGATGTGTGTTTACTCTGAGGTGAAGACTGGAGCTGCAGGTACAGTCACGCTCATAGTCTGAAAGTACTGAAATGTGTCACATCATTGTGTGTAACTAAGGCTCAGTGTGCAGTTCAGTTCATCTCAGTCACCTTGGGTAGTTATTACATACAACCACTAGGTGGCACCACAGCTGGGAATTGTCAGTTCTTACACATATTTAGTGTGTTTTCAGTTCTACACACAGTACAGTTTACATTTCATATGTTTTTACTATGTTGTACTATAACTTTTCTTTCACACACAGTATATGGTTGTGTGTCTGGTTAGTTTGTCTTCGTTTTAAATCACATGTATAAAGCAGAGCAAAGCACTTAATGTTCAGGTGTCACACATACCTGACAGCAGAGCGACAATCAGGAAAAGATGGCCATGCGTGGGGAAAATCACCAAAAATGGATCTTTTAGCCCGACCGGTTAACATACTGTGAAGAAAAGGACTAAACGGATCAACTGAAGGTTTGAAAACCGGTTCCATAATCTCATCCACTGACTCAAGCTGTTGTCCAAGAGGCCATTAAAAGTCCCTGTGATATCTAATCCCCTCCTCAGGTGACAACACATGGTGCGTTCAATAGAAGTGAGAACACGTTTTGATCTATCTATATCCAAGTATAGGCTACCAATAAACAACGTAAACAGAACATCTAAGTTTTAGAAGGTTTTATATAAAACACAGGCCTATAAGTTAAGACAAAAGCTACATACTGTAAAAGCCTGTTTGTTATATATTACAACTACAACAGTCTGATGAAAGCTCAATCAGTGGTAGACTGAGATTGTTGGAGGGAAGTCAGCACCTTTCCAAAGGAGCATTTACTTTTGTTGGACCTTAGAAAAATATGACAGTTTCTTCCCTCGGAAAAGCAAACAAATAAACCAACACAAAAACTTTGTCAAATAAAAAAGAGGAAAAAAGCAATACTGAGTTATTAGAGAAGTTGGGAAGCAATATTAGTGGACAAAGTAGCCTATAATTGAAATCAACAGTTTGTAGAGGATTTGCTGAGGTTATTGAACAAAAGTAGGTCAAACTGTGGTCGGTTGGTCACAGTTATGTAATGGGCGCCTCATCAGAACATGATATATAAGGAGCTGTGGTTGGGAAAAAAAGGAATTCATACCTCATATTTCATTTCTTCACACTTTATACTGTTTATAGGAATTTATGTTGGTCATCCAGGAATGGCCAGAAGGGGGCGTAGGTGACCTCCAGCAATAAATGTAGAAAAACAATATAATTAAAAGTTTGCGATTAGTCAGAACCACAAAGTGGACAGTCTTCACAGTAATCAAATAGCAGAGGAAGCTTGTCTACTTTATTGTCTTCAACACTTAAATGTAGTGTTACACCCATTTGATCACATGTTTGTTTAAAGCCCCAGGGAGCAGAGTCTGTGTGGAACAGGTGCTAACTCAGAGGTGCTCCCTTCTCTAACCTGTCTTACACATTATGGATTTGAAACTCTGCTTTTCTGTTGTTAGTGAACTTGCC